CCTTTTCTCCTTGTGATATTATTCTGTTTGGCCCACACAAAGAAGGGAAATTGCTGGATTCGGGTTCTGATGTTATTCGAGCTCCACAGCAGTGTACGCGGTGAGTGCTTTTACGTTAAATGCAACGTCTGTTGTTTTTAGATCGTCATACCAGAAACAAACAAACGTGTCTGTTCGCCGAACACCTGGATCATTCAGAAGTTCAATGCTTGAAATATTTTGTTTTACGAAGCTCATCGCATTCAGAATTCGGTCAGAAAGCGTTCAGAGTTACTTTATCAGACAGAGGGGAAAGCAGGTCAGTATTATATAAGGTTGCTCCAGAATAAAAGTTGTACTCTAACAACTTGTTGGAAGCTGCCATATTTTACTTCAAACCGAATTTTTGGGAAAATTCATCCGATTCTTTTACAGTAAGAGGTTAATCAGTTTGTAAAATCCAGATATGGGCTAATCACTTTGGATAAAGTACGCAGTAAAGTTCTCTGAGTTAGTAGTTAACTTCCGATGTGAAGATTAGGAAATGTGAACGACCACTGGCGAACCAATAGCCTCTCCATGTTTACCTAAGACTTTCACAAAACGTTCATGGCTTCGGACAAATTGGCCCCCATTAGCCGCACAATGCTCTTAAGTGCAAAACCACTAAGTGTAGAGCAACAATTTTTGGGTCAAAATGTTGAATTTTGTTGCAAATGTGCTCAAGCCAAAAAATGCTAATCTACGCACGCATTTTTGCAGATCGCCAATCTTCAGTGTCCACTGGAACAATCATACCTCTGGCGGAAAAGTCTGGTGCAATAATTTCCCAGCATCGCTAAGACCTAGGGATGCCCAAATGAGGCGCAGAAGTTTGACGAATTGCCTGATTGTTTTCATCCATCATGGCCACGTCACAGCGGTCGAAAATTCAATTCCATTGTGCGAATACTGAGCCCCGCAAATTGCGATCAAGTGCTGAAGACAATGAAGACACGTATGAATCGTTCTTTAAATGAATATTCGCAGTTGTCAGTACTTTACGACTGCAACTTGCCGACCTTTAACGCCGTGAATATAAGGCAGACGTCTTTTCCTTATACCTTATAATGCCAGTATATAGAAAGACGTGTTGACTGATTCTGTGTTTCGACATGCAGCATTTTTCTAGCTCCAACTAGATGTGGCCAATGATGACTATTTTGCACATGAAGAATTTACATAGAAACGCAGTAGTCATCGAGAGGCAACGAGGAGGCAACATTTTATAAGAAAAACTTTTTTAATTTATTTTTGTTAAGCAACTGCAAAGGTGTCAGGAAAGTCTCTGAAGGAACTACCTGTCCACCAAACCCTGTGATGGCTCTTTGTGGAGGCCAAAGCATACCACTAATTATTTATTAAAACGGGTTCCCGGTAACTGTTTGGGTGGAAATCACATTGTTAACGCCAATGGGAGTGGTCAGCGACAGAGTAGTTCTAGGAGTGGAAGCATGGTTCTGGAACTCGTAGGGTCAGTCATACCACAATCGTTTGTTGGGCGATGATCAAAACATCGTATAGTATGGACTGCACTCCACAAAACTGCTAAATCTGTCTTGCGCCAGGTTTTGCATAATGGTGCAGTGAATTTCGTTAAAAATTACGGGGGCTAAACTCAGATATCCCAACAAATTTTATGCATAAATTGAGCCAAGTCACCCATTTAACCGTTAAATTGGGTTAGTTATCATTGAAACAAACTTTCCACTCGACCTCTAATAAAACAACTTCACTTTGGTCACGCTACAACTACTTCTTGCGTGGAAAAAGAATACTTATCATAAATTTTTTGAGCATTTCTATTATCACATGTTCTCTTCCGCATAGTTAAATGGTCATGGGACAATTTAAGCGCGTTTTTGCTTTCTAACGCGCTATCGTTTTTTACTATTTTTAGCGCTATTTTTTTTACTATCGTGACGAGTGGTGCATCGCTTTCTTCCTGCAGCACCTGTCGAATGAGGCCCGTTCGTAATGCAATATTGTGGGTGTTGGTCAGGGAATGTTTTCCCCGGAAGCAGAGGTCTTCTTGGTAGTTGGCGCTTGTGTACCACTCATGGCTCCTACTAAGGACGCTGTGTTAACAACTCGTCGAAACAGTAATCTCGTCTGCACAGTCTAACTCTGTTATTTGGGTCAACGTAAAATATTCCGTGTCCTGAGTCATTAACTACAGTGTTTCTCGCAATGCATATCAAAATACAGCAAAGAGCTCAATGTGTTATCAAAGTAGTAATGTTAAACTTCGTGATTCGGTGGAAATTCTTTACCCTTCAAAAACCTGTCTGAAAACATTTTGGTTCAAAGGGATAGACAGAGAACAGCTTGAAGAGCAGTCTAGTGTTGAATGAGGCCTTAGGGTACCACAGGGATGGAACAACCAGAAGTTTATGAAAAACCGAACGCAAGGTATCTGAAGGTAAAAAGTAGCAATGGGAAACTCCTAGCAGCGAAATGACCAATGTTTCTGATAGTCAGTGTATTAGTCAGTTGGAAAAGTGACTAGGTTAACAAAAGGTCCTATTGTTGGTTGAAAATCAGTATCGTCTACCAAAAATTAACTTTTATGGGACGCGTGAATCGCATACACAGATAACAATAATGATAAAAGTTATGGCACTAAATCTGTGATTTTATGTGATAGCAGTAGGTTTGTTTCAAAAGGTGGCGCTTCTCGCTAATAACTGTGGCTGATCAAATGAAACTGGTGCTTTTTGACTATTGGCAAGTTTGTAACTATATAATGTTTGTTCATCTAACTTTGTGCTTGGTCGCTTCAATTCCAACAGTATTGATAAACACTAAGCGAAAAAATTGACTCGGACCTAACTTATTTACAGTCATGTGACTGTCTCTGTGCTCAGCTGCCGGGGCCTGATAGGAACGGAGGCAACAGAATGGCTGAACTCCTCAAGCTCCAGCCACATGTTCTCCAAAAAAGTGATTGAGGTCCTCTAAAACCAACAACTAACAATATGGCACTGCTGAAAATTGATTTCGATGAACCCCGTTGATCAGGTTAATTGGGCTATGCGAATAGATTCACATATACGTCCAAGGAAAATTATTGTCTCTGATTTCCATTATGGGCAACTCTGCTAGATTACACACCATAAGAGAAACAGCATAAACTTAACCCTATATAGTAGAACGGGTTACTTTGGAATAAATAGTTCTCCTTAAACAATAGTTTTGTGCTTGAAACGTCCCTGATGGCCAATTTTCTACTCTAATAATGCTGCATTGAAGCAAATAGAACAGCAGTCGGACTGGCAACACCTTTCTTCTTGTAACGATACTTATGTTGATATGAAGCTGTTACCGTAATAAGAGGTGTTAACGGCTTCGTCTGCAAAAGTGGCCACACTTTCGCTACACAAAACCTGACACCCGGAGTTCTACTGATCCGAGGCAGCCACTCGTACGAGATGTGGCCATTGGAATTGCGGCCAAATGCATCAAATTATTTGCCCAACCCAGGCGGTGATAATGGGATAATACTTCTCACAACGGCTCCCCTAAATTGTCCGTGTCTTACCGAAAAGGTTAACACCAGAGTGATTATGAGGTTATTTTTGGCTACAGACCGCGTTTTACTACTTGCTTCTTTAGAACCCTATGAGTAGGACCCAAATGAAGGCACAGACTCAGAGTTCCATGTTTGTAACGCACACAAAATCTTATCCATATACTTTTCTGTCTGCATGTGCAAACGTGACTCAAAACAAATAGTATTAACGCGACCAACTGTGATTTCCTCTGACTGCAGAACTATTTGCAAAATAGGATGAGGAATTTTCTTCCTCTCAAATCACTAGGAAATTTTGGTCGACTGGAATATACGGTTCAGACCGTACCGCAGTAGTATTTAGCAGATAGCAAATATCAAACCACCAGTCCTAGAACATGCATCAAACTTCAGTAGTCCCTGTCCAGTCAAAAGATATGCTTAAGCATATCTGAGGCGCCAGAACTTTTGTGTTTCACCGTGAGATAATCAGGTCCGCGTAGTTGTGCTCCTTTCCTGAGCGAACTGACACAAAACGTACGTGCATATCCTAGCCATCGTATAGGAATCGTGTCACAGCACAGTGGTCGCGGTAGGACTAAGCGAAAAAATGATTATGCTGAGGGCAGTCTATTGTATCAGTTTACTATCATTCTTTGGTTCTAATGCTGCTGTGTTGTCGAAATCACTTATCGTTAGAGCAGAAAAAGATATGAACATGAATTTACTGCGAACAGTGGATTATTGGCCAGTGTACCACAGAGGCTACTTTACAGGTACTGCTTGTTGTATGTGAACTATTATTAATAATATTATTAATAATATCTTGTGCACAAATGATCAGATTTTTCCTCAGATATTCTTTGCAATTCACTATCTTGATGCAGTATATGGTCATTATAAATCAAGCTGTTAAGTAATTGGTATAGCCTGAGGTGAATTGTCATTGTAAACATTTAAGGAGGTACCATACGTAAATGGTGAGATAATGCGGTCTAGTTAGAAAAAAGCCATGTAGCTGGTTGGTAACCTTATACGAGCGTTCCGGCGACCAAAACATGTGGATCAGAAATCCCACTGGCTCCAACGTGTTTGCAAAAACTGGATGAAATCCACGGTCATACAACACTGCGTAAACAGAGACTTTGGCAAGATTCCTTTCACAAATCATGCCAATAATTAGCCCATATTTAGCATCTGGTAGTACTGTGGTGGTAATTGCGTAGTAATAATGTAGTAATCCATTTGGCACTGTTAGATTCCGCCTTAAAGATTTGCATTTCTATGGTCTCTCGGACACTTTGGTGAAATAATCCTGGATGTTTTGACGTAAACTGTCAGCAGCATGCTACTTCCATCTTTAGCAACCACATAGGTTTGAGTTAAGTGGGTCTTGTTTAATATACCAAGGGAAATTCAGATTATCTACCAATTGATACCGAAAACTCAGTACTTTTCATGTGATCTCACCGGCCTGTTGATGAAAAATTTTGCAGTCACGGTTGACCGCAGCTATTCGTCTCACGGAGGTGAAGTTTAGTGTCTTTCTTAAGGTCAAACATTTTGGCAGTGCGGGACTAGAGCTATCGGAAAACCGTAGACGCATTTGTTTCCGTGGTTCAATGCAACCAATGAAACAAAAGAACTGTCGACCCGAAAAGGACAATTTCTGAAAATGAATGTACACTCGCGCAACTAGAAGAGAAATAGCTCTCAACCTCGCAAAGTCATCAGCCAACTTGCAATACTTAGGGTTTTGCGAAATTCTGACGATATATTCCGTGAACAAATGGAGCTTTTTTACGCTTTTTTTTAGAAATAAGGCTTTTTTATCTTTGGTTTATTCTGACTCGAGTCATTATGAAAGCATTGGTTTGGCATAAAAAGAAGTTCCAATGTACCCGAATGATTTTCCCATGATGCGTAACTACAGTGGGTCCAATCCACAGTTCTTTGAAGTCACTTCGCTATTTAGGTTTAGGCACTGTTCTATTCAGTGGGTTTTTTTAAAAACGTGGAAGGGTCTCCTGCTGAAGGTTGGTTTGAGGATGGATCACCAATGTTTCGCAAGAAACGCAGGGCCTTCCCAATGAAGGTTCAACAGAGGCTGCTTGACACATCAATAGTATTTACTTCCAATCAAAAAGTCTTGAATCCTATGTTCAGTTGTAGTGTCTAAACCTCACGATCCACTCGTAACTATTTGCCTGAAAATCGCCGATATTTTCGGAATTGAGCGCTCCTTCAAATACCGCACCGTTTATATATAAGCAAACGTCCATTTCGTCGAAACACTTAATACTGTGTAGCAAACCCTTTTCCTTTTCTGAGTACCCAACTGATAATCTATGAATCTACTCACTGAGCGCTCAAGTAACCAGTTAGATTTTGCTTTATCCAGCTTGCGAATTTCCCTTTGCTGATCCTAGAATTTGATCGGCTGTTCACGCGATTCTTTATTGTTTTTAATCATGCTCTTTTTGCGCGGGCATTTGCATCCCAAAGAGAAAACTTGAAGATGTTATGCACAAAGTTTATGGCTGGCTTTTACAAGGAGATGCGGTGTAATGCAAGACCACAAGAGTAGTGAAGTCATACTGTTTGCTGAATTGCGATAGCAGCAACAGATACCTTAACCCTAAAAGTATGACGATACCGAGGCGAGCTGCAGCTAACTCAGTTTGCCTAACACATCACTGGGTCTTGAGAACTAGGGTCGTGTTCGTGTGGTTGCGTGTTGCTGCGTGTAATCGCGTAAAGATGAGCTACAACGACTGTGTTTCGTAAGGCTACGCACCTTATGGGTATGAAGGTCTCTCCAAAGCACAAGCTGCAAGGATTGTGGTGTATTAAAATTCTAATTACTTAAAGGAGAGGAACCCAACATAATAAATGTCGTAAGGTGTAAAGCTCAAACACGCATCAGCCTTGACTTAACTAATGATTTATGCCAACACTTTGGCTCACGGATGTGACGAAATACTTTTGATTTATAAGCAGGATGAGAGCCCTGATCATGGTCTATGGGCAAAGAAGTCGAAACCTCGCTACAATTCCAATCCTCTAACCAAACAGTGACAAAGTGTGAATAACAAAATCTGATGTGTATAATATGTATAATACAGAGGTACAATGGCCATTTACTCATAGAGACTACTTGTACCGTCCGAAAAATTGCCATCGTGTTGACAATAAAACTTCTCCATAGGCAGTTTAAACTCTTCAAACAACAGGTTAAGGGCAACACAAACTAGATTCCGATCAGAACCGTATTTTATTTATAATGTATCACTTATATCCGAGCGAAAAGGAGTCAGCCATTCTACCCCCAAAATCACTGCAATTACATTAGTTACCAGCAGCCTTAAAGCTGTAAAATACACGAACCTATGTGTGACTAAATTGTGACGTAATTTTGATTCATTAGTGTGATTATTTTCGTGTACCCACCATTATGAATGCAACCATGTTGAGTTTAAACAAATGGCAAGCTATTCCACAGATGCTGTTGTCATTTGTAGTGAGGTATACCACGTGGAGATGTTTCTTCTTGAACCCGTATTTAGAGTAAGCTACTCTATTTGAAAATAGGCAAATTCAAAACAGCCGAAACAGCTGACTCAGTCAACTACTTAGTCATACTAGAGATAACGCAATCGAGTGACTCACTTACTTACTCGGAAGTATTTGTTAGGCTTCAGAGTGGGTCTACTGTGTTCAGGCCGCATCAAATTAGTGTACAACCCTTATGACAGCCCACATCACATACTTTAGGAGAAAAACTGAGCATAAACCAAGGCAGATAGACAAGTTTAACTTGTACGAATCATACAAACTTAAAGATGGAAGCACCTCTGCTTCACCAGTTTGACGCCGCTTGTGTCTCATCTGCGCCTTTCTAAATTTGGAAATCTGCAAGACATCCAGTAAACTCACTCACCAACCGATTTTCAGCCAACTCATACAGACACCCTATACCTTCCGTTTTTAAGGAGTAACTAAAGAGGCAGAACTAAAGCTAAAGACCGCGGGATATTGCATTCTATGCGAATTATCCCCTCAGAAATGGACGCATATTGAGCCACTGCCGAGTGAAGAAGTGCGTGGGCTGCTAAATTATATCACCTCTTTGGTAATCGAGGTCATCGCTGTTTCAATCCCTGTTTAAGTGATATTCGAATCCTTTGAAATGTGTCACTCTGATCTCCAAAAGACAAAAGCATTATTTCATAACTAAATGTGAAAAAACGGCAACAAAGTACTCTCTGCTAGCTATCGATGTTTTGTATGGTTGCCTTTCTCTGGAAACTACTTTGAACGCATGTATCTCTATCTCAGGCCAGCTTGGGGCTGTGCTTGAAAGCGTACTGTAGCAGGAGAGACCACTTTGGTTCTGTCTTCTAAGGTGTTCAGTTCAGAAAAGAGGTAAGAGTTAAGTTATCAAGTATCATTCGAACTCTTCCGGTACTACATGCGAAGAGAACCTGAAGACTTTACTTCTTCCGCAGATCGCCCCTGTCTGGGCCGCTACACCACACGTCGTGCCTGACCCAAGGAAATTCTGTAAAATGGTTCTTAGAACACTCTATAATTTGATATTTGTTCCATTTTCGCAATAGGCTGTACTGTGCTAAGGCCCGATGTGGCAAAAAACAACTAAATTGTAGAAAATGCTGACTAGGTTGTAAACACATAGCGGTATGTTGTGATATCTTTGAAATTCCATGGCAAAAAGAGTTTCCTTACAAAGGCATGTTTTGCTATCCTCTCGGAAAGAAAACTAATGAATTTGATGACGGAACGTTTAGCAGCCTCGCATTTACTACTGCCCTTAGAAATAGTACCGTCTCCATGGGTGCACTTTCTTCTGCTAACTTCAACTGGTTCCTCAACAATAGGCTTTACGCAGTACAAACATCCGTAAGGAGAGGTTGCCCGCTGAGACGGGCTGAAAGTAGTTTCTTTTAAACCAGGGATTCACAAATGAATTAGTCATTAAAGTAAGCTTTCATCGGGTAGCAGAAGACGTTTTGTTTCCACAGTAGCATGAAATTTTTGAGGCGCTTGCCACTTCGGGAGGGATCGCATCCAAATGCGGCTAGCAAGACCCATTCCGTCGTTATACTGTGAATTTTGTCTCAGCTCTTGCTAGGTTTCTGTAATGCCTACAGTGCTTTTTTGTTAAGACTGAACGGGGCACGGTTTCAAAGGACGACGTTTTCAGGCAAATAGTCACCAGGTAGGAATGAACTGTTTTCGTTGGGTGGTATACGGTTTCTACTGAAGGAAATAAGATTGTTGCAGGCCAACCATTCAGTCCCATTCAGTCCAATTTCCTGGAGAGACTGTACAAAATTACCCATGTTGCATCTTCTAATGATTAGGAGACAATTCTGACAGACTATTTTTTTTCATTCACTCCACTGATTAGTCTGACGTCTCGAACAACTAGCCATCTGGAATTTCTAAGGACACCAGCTTTACTCTTCCAAGCGTGTTTACCTCAGGCAACGGAGATGAAATTTAACGCATGTTTTACTTTCATCGGGGCCTGTCCTTACTTAATTCTCAATTCAAGTGTCCTGCTTGTTTGGTGAAGTTGAATACAACACTTCGGAAGTGAATACAATAAACACAACCAACTCTCTTTCTGCGTTCGAGGTCAAAGTTGCAAACAACAGTGAGCAAGGTCGGGTAGCCCGCTTCACTGTCAGTTTCCAGGTGAAGAACGTTTCTACTGACTAGTGTGGATCTTGCCATGTTCAAGAACCGAAAACGACCACAACTTAGTGACACTAGATGAGGCAACAGATCATGAGACAAAAAAGCTCCCTCTTCTTTCAACCGAGGTGCTTTTGTAGATAAGTGATCCCAGAGAAGTTACAACAATTAGGCCACAAACTATTTATTCTGCCTCATAATACGAGCTGCCTCAACTGACTACAGCGACGATATGACAATCTCTATGTATAATACCGATCTTCCAGTAGTTCTGTCATTTTGCTCACTGCATTAGTTTTATAGTGTGGTTTTCCGAATTCTCTGAGAAATGGTCGGAGGGTTTGCTACTTGGCAGTGTTGTACTTTTGACAGAAAAGCTTCACAGACTAGGGGAGTAAGTTGTCATCCTGGTCAAGTTTTAAAACAGACTGAGAAACGATCGGCGAAAACGTTAGCAACTGACGGACAAAAAACTGCTGTCTGTTTGATAAAAATTGCTGTCAGTTGGTAGGGTGGCGTAGTGTGTTATCCCTTTGGTCGTCTTTCGGACTCAATCTTTCCGTTTCAGGACGGAGTGAATAATGTGAGTCAACGTTAGAAAAAGTGGAATGTGGAAAAGATTTCATGGCTTTTGGTCAGCTTGGGGAGTGATTTCGGATCTGATACCACTTTTGTTTATGTCCTGTATTCACTGATAATCGCACATCTTTGCGTCTCCAGTTGGCCGCTCACTTTCAATCCTACTGTTTACACTGGGACACTCGGTGGCCCTCTCCGTTTCGACTACTAACCATCATCTTCGCCTACAAACAAGGACAATTTCTAAATCTGTTGTCTTGTACGTGGTGCATACTCTATTAATGCTGAGTCCTTGACAAGTCCTTGATACTTACCCGAGTTTTAGTGATCAGTTTATTCCGCTCCTATACTCACCAGTTTCGGTGAAAATTTCTGGAATGTGAACTCTAGTGCAGTTTTTAATGCATTCATCACGTTTGCGGTTGTAATTAGTCTCTGGTTTTATCGACCAGCAGGCGGTCTTTTTACCCCGCCAGTGAAGAATGCCACTATTATGTTAGTTGCTTTAGGGACCTTTTGAAACATCGCAGACGTTCCGGGTTTATTCGAAATAGCGAGCGTTCCGATCCATTTCCTATTTTCCCTTCCATGAAATTCGGTACACTACAGTAATTTGTAGACGGATTAACTTTTCCGTCGTCGCATTGTTTGTATTTGTCCGGTTAACCTGAGATACATTTTACTTCTGTCGCTCTGATATTAAATTAGTTGAGAGTTCTGTCCTAAGGCCGTGGATGAACTGATCAGCGTGGCTAAGAATATTGGATAAGCGTCGCGTAGTTAAATGCCCTCCCATTTGGGGAGTGACTTATCTACTGAAAATGCAACCCAAGAAAAAGCAAACGACGTATCTGACAACTTGACAGCCTGACATTTGGGTGCTATGCAAGACCTTAAACAAGTTTTGTTGAATGAGTGATAGATTCTGCTGTTTACCTGAACGCAAACTACCGACCACTTTTAATGACCTCAAAGCTTGATCTTCTTCACCAAGTGATGAATATTTTTAGCCGACAGGAATATCTAACCAACACTTGGCGTTTGTTTAGTCCCATAGTAGAACTGGGTTTCTTCTGATGCCTATTTGGTTGCCTTAAAACTTTGCAAGCTTACTGAAGAAGCTTTTGTGAAACTTTTCCCGGTAATACATCCGGCAATCATCTGCTGAACTCATTCTGGCGAACTTTACTCATTTGGATAGGAATGTAGTTTTGCTTTGCCCACTTTTTGACCAAAAAAACATTCTGAAGTGAAAAAAAGTGGAACCACGAATTTCCCTATGATATTCAAAATTACGAGTAGTTTTCAACAAATAAGAAGTCAAAGTTGCATTTGTAACCAAAAGACTGTGTTTTTTTCTTAGAATACTGAAAAAGTATGGACGGACATTCTGGTGCTCTGTATCTGGCTCATTTTGCGACGTATACTTCCAATTTGCGTAGAAATCATCCCAATAACCGGTCCTCTCGTGGAACATTTTCAATGTATTAGGGGTTAGTGGAATATTTTTTTGCGACAACAAGGTTATTGTAAGATGAATTATCTAAAATACGCTTGACGGCTATCATGCAGAAAGCATTTAGGAGATGGATGCAGAGAACTCCACTTCAATCAAAGTGAGAAAATAATTACTGGACAGTAATGCAGTATGAAGCGTGCAAATTGATCGGGCATGATCAAGCTCAAAATAGTAAGCAATTCTTAATTCTGGCGTTTTTTTCAACTGCTGCAAAACTATTTACTGAGATACAGAAGAAAAATTCCTTGGACCCTGTTTCAGCTGTGCATCGAAACACAATTTGTAAAGGTGTCAATAAATTTTGGCGAACTTCTATCACTTTTGTTTGACGCCACATTTTATTCGGTGGGTTCCTAACGACATGTTTTTCTATATGTGTATGTACAGCAGAGAACTTTCATGGACAGATTTGAACAAGGACCAACTTATCTTTCGGTTTCCACTTACTGAAGCCTTCTTCATATCTGCACGAGATCCACGAATACAATCGTTTATGCTTTGAGTAAGAGTATGACTAGCATCCCCATAATACTTTCGAATTCCGCTCTCGGTTAAGGTACGTTAATGTAAGGTGAAGATTCGGAAAAATTTGAAGCACACAAACAAAAAATTGGTGCTCTTGGACGGGACTCGAATCCACAACTTGCAGCTTACCGGACAAGTACTCAGCCATCTGAGCTGCCGCGGATGCTGTCTCAAGTCGCACACATGAACTTGATTTTACATCGTCTTGCCACGTCCCTGCCTAATGGACCAACCGTTCATGTCTGGCAGTGTCAAAGTGAGTTCATCATTTGACTTTCATAACGGATCAGAAGTTGATACCACTCAGATACGCAAGCGGGAGGTAGCAGGGTCAAATCCCGTTGAAAGACCTCATCTTTTCGTTCGCACTATGCGTGCTTGGGTAGATCGTTGGCATTCCCATTATTTTTATATTTGCTTGAAGCCTTTTACGTCATATATAATAAATCTCTTTCGCAACCCTTGAATGATATCAACTGTTACAGAGGATGTTTATAACAGTTCAGTTTGAAAGCACTTTGTTTAACATTATTTTTGAACGGTGGATGTATCAATAACTATTGTCTTTAATGGTACTTAGCTTACGCACCATATTATTGAGTTTCGTTCATGAGCCGCATAGTCTAGGTTACTAAAGTCTTTTGAACGAGATAAAAAATTTACTTTGAAACCTTAAAGGAGCTACAATTTTGGTGCGGAAAAGTTCTGTTTCTTGCAAAGCGAGGAAGTTCAGCACTACTTTTAGCAGTGCAATGGAAATTTTGCGCTATGCACACATTTCAAGTTTGACCTGCCGATGCTGGAAAATGCAAGTGGTAAAACAAAGAAATATTAACTACTTCGTTTTCTTTAATTAGACGTAAAAAGACTCAGCATGAAGTTATTTTACAAATCCTTCAATAAGCCTTACTCCTCACAATGTGGAAAGCTCAGCTTAACTGGTGAGAGCTGTAGATTTGGACGCTCATAGCTGCCAGAAATGTTTTGTTTTGTGGATGATCTGCCCAATGTCGTTTGGAGGGTACTTTCCTAACCCACCCGAATTTTTCACCCAACAAAAACGCGGTTCTTATTTCCTGCACCAGAATGATGTTATTACTCATATGAAAGATGAACTCACAATTGTACTTTTACATAATGCGGAAGAAGCAAGTAAACTGTCATAAATTGCGCGCTTTTAGTTGCTCAAGAAAACCACCTGAGAGGAAGTACACTGGTGTGTAGAGTAGAGAATAATATGTGAAAAGTCTGCGTAAATGGTTTTACAATTTAAGAAAATATGCTGTAGTAAAGATTGGAGTGAACAGCGAAAAGCTTGTGTACAAAAGTTTTCCTGCAAATGCTGGCACAGTGTTACAGTTGTCGGTGTCACAGCAGGCCGCTACGACTGTGGATTGATCGGAATTTTTTGAAATACCATAGTCACATACGTCACCCGTGGCAATGCAATGGGCATCGATTTTGCTTGTCTTCCCCTTAGTGAATGTAATAACAAGCTGAAAATAGTGAAATATGATGAGTTGGGGAATAGCAAAGTATTCAAGAGCCATAGAAATTGGCCAGTGTCTCTTATCCTCGACAGCGCAAGATGCTGTCGGACATGGAAAACGGTCCAGAAACTGAAAAGCAGTTTTTGGTTGGGGTATAAATAATAGTTCAGCAATAGGTTACTATTATTTTCTATTGTCAAGGTACGGTTGTCCAGAATTTTCAACATCTTTGTGTGCATATGCGCAAGAATGATTTTCCTTACAGAAAAAGTTTCCTCCTGATTGACAGAGACAAGTAAACATGATAAAACTAGGGTGTTTTAAGCCACAGTGGTTTTTTAATGGGCAAAGAAAAAGACAAATACCTTTAAAAGTTGGGAGCATTTTCCATATGTTCTTAAATAATAATGGAAGTTGGGTCTAATAAAAGTGAAACATCCTTTTGTTGAGACTTTGTTCTCAATCGAGTTGGTTCAAATAATATTTAGCCAATTTACCCTATATCCTATTATATATATAACATGACATATTATGTATATTATGTACATATTATGTATATATTATCTGTAGAGTTAAGCTATCGTAGTTTTTTGCAGTCGTACTCAGTGTTCTGTATTAGAAAGCGAAATATCATTAGTCCACTGCAATTTGGCGTGGCTCACGCATAGACGAACACTGGATTCATCAGAGGAAGAAACTCTTTAGAACCCAAAAGGGGACACTTTCTGGTTCACACATGTCCTATTTACTCGATGGTGAGAAAGCTTTATTGATTCATATCTTTAACTCGACTATCACTTTAAAGCAATATGCATCTAAACTATAGAAGGCACGCTACACTGTCACCCTTTGTTCTGGTTTGAACTATTCGACAATGTTGTCGTGGGCAAGCGTGGTGTTTCGTTCCACGGTTGCAACACCGGTTGAAGTGAATCCGCCGAAGAATGGGGTGACGCAATGCAAGACAACCCGACATTTCACAAGGTTCAGTCAGTCAGCACCGCTCACTTTTTATATAAAAATACGCCGAAACAATCCGAAGCAATTATTTCGGACCAATTATCATGAATTACCTGAGCCACACTAAGGGGTTGAGTGAAATCTCACTAAATCAGTACAGAATAATCGCAATACGCTTCCTAATAATCACACTGCTGTCAAAGTACTGTTACAAAAACCAACAAAGGTATCTTGTAGGTGGCAGGATACCTGTTGCAGAATCTGCACAGAGTGACAACGGAAAAACGAAAAAAGCGTGTGTAAGTAGCGCAATTAAAATTTGTTCCAAGTGGGTTCTATCTTCATACTAAATAAAATTTGAGGAGTAAGATCAAATAATACCCGTTACTTGAAACTCGGTTTGATCATGATCTGGTGCACTTTATGGGGTTTACGTGCATCCAGAATATAATGTTTTCAAAATGCCCAACGTAAGCAAAATAGTAATACGTACGCGGCATTCATCACAGGTTGTTGCCGCCACTGCTGTGGTTCCAGTTCCACCAATTGGAAGTTTACAGTCGGTGCACGTTTGACATTCGATGGAGTAAGTTCGGAGTGGCACTGAAACGGGATATAAGCAGGTGAAGACACAAAAACCGCATAAATTACGCAAAGATTTTTAGACTGTGTATGGTGTTGCATGAGATGTTACCTGTTGATATATAAGTGAGCAGCAAAAGCTTTAGATGCATTTTTGACGGTTGAATTCAAAGCTGGCAATGGGTACTCGAAAATCTGAACATATGAACTCCATATTTGTGCTCAAAGCCACCAATAATGGCACAATGCTTCGTTCTGGCCAATCACAGCCCCACATCAGTGTGACGTTATTGGTAGTTTGAAGAACTACTCATTGAGGTGTATACGTAAGTGCTTTAACCGGACCAACTTAGCTTGTCAGGTTAAGCCTAAATTCATTTGATCAACCTGGTTTGCTCATTGGTAGTTACGGAGTTCCCTTCAAATCAATCTCACGTGTATTTCAAAAGTCCTTTTTTGTCCTAATCTGATTATTGTGGTAATTTTGCCTCAAAGCGGAAGTAGCGGACTGGTGTATAACTCCACTCGGAGCTCACCGACAGTGTACACCATTGACTGCACCGGGAGCTGTGTTCTGTCTGAGGGAGTACATACATCTGCAAATTAGTGACATCCCTGTTTTAGTTAGTGTCCCATTTTTATTACCATTAACTGTGGAGATTTGTTCAGCTACAAGCTACGTCCTAGCTTTTTCAATTTTCTTGATGTTCTTCCCTGTTTAGGCTCTAAGTTAGTTAGATGACATGAGCTACCTCGACTCACAATTTAACCTTATGGATTCATATAGACTCATTAATATGACACTTGAAGCTAAAGTTAGAAATTATCACTTTCATTTTTGATTTAGTAGGCATAATGAATAACCCTTTAAACGTATTAAGTTGAAACCTGCTTGTATAGAAATATATGGATTTCCCGAAAGACGGATAATTAGAATTGTTGGTTAATACTCCGACACTCAGGATTCGGGCTTTACATTAATGTCTTTAAGCTTCATTCGGTTTCCCCTCTATCATCTTATACACGTGCTGTTTGAGAGGTGTAGACAGGAAAACAAAGTTCATATGTTCGAAGGGAGGAATTTCACAATAAAATGTAATTTCAACCGGAATTTTTATTCAGAATGTCATAACATTCTGCAACATGCTCGAAGACGCATACGAAAGAGAAAAAGATCAGGTAATAAACGTTGCTACACACTAATGGCCTTGGGGAATCAAGGTACCCAGTAATGCTGCACTGCACAACACTTGATCAAGTAAGTTCAACCATACTGATAAGGCCCAGTAAGCCGAAGTTTCTCATGTCACTTGTAACATGAAAATTTTCAAAACGTTTCAATTCACACAATAACCCCCCTACAAGCAGCTGTCCTTCCAAAGAACAATCCCGAAATTTAAAACTTCCATTGGGGGAGCTTTCTCTACCCGATTACCTACAGGCCCCATAACCGATATCAACAAAATCTCAAATAGGAACAGAAAAATCCGTATTTTAGGCTTTCTCACATCACCGTCTTTTTTTAAACTTGAAGAATGGAGTGGCTGATAATGGCGGAACAATATCCCCACGCCAAATTTTTGAACTGCTGATATACCACATATGAAGGTGGCCCCATGCGTTGTGTGTTTTGTGGTGGACCGTGTGAGGTGCCGCGTCACAAGATCCAGTAATATTTAGGAGTGCATGAAATAGTTTATTGAGCGATCAGTTGTGCGATTATTAAGTGATCGCTTTAACAATTTCATGTATGACCATGGTGGTTCAGTTCAGTCCAATATGATGATCTTTACCCAATATTATTAAACAGACGAGAATCAATAAAATATTTGCCTAAATAATCTCTGGAATACTGTAATAATAATATATTCCATGTATAAAATGTGCGATACTATTATTATTGCTACTATTACTATTATTATAACGTCGGCGTCGTAAAACAAAAAAGATGATATCGTTTGTTAAATAAACGGATGTTGAATTAATCGTAAACTTTATGTCACAATAAAATCCTCCATTCCAAGACACACCAAAACAGATGGCCTGTCTGTCGGCGAACAACTAGTCTATCACCAGTAACAACTGCCTGCTCAAATGACCAAATAGATCAAGGCTAGTTCTCTTCAGCAGCTTAAATAAAATTGTAATGGTTTGGCTTTTCGCAATAATGACGGAAAAACTGTTAAAGTTGCATGTTTTTTCAGAGGCTATCGTATCGAGTTTTCACTTTGAAGAGACATAAATGATAAACGCTGCAAATCACCTAAAATTGAAGTATACCAATGCACTGTTTGTTTAGAATATGGCTTTTCCAAAGCCTAAAGTTTTGCCAGTGATTAGTCAAAGCCAACTGCTGCATCCAGCGGTTTTCGATGACAGCAGCTTGTTCATTTTTTTCAAATATTTGAGATCGTCATACGCTTCGAACTGGAAAATCTCTGCCATTATCAGATCTAAGTAAACACGGTTTAAAGGACTCTTCAGATTGGTTGATGGAATAACAAGCAGCAAAGCCGGTGCGTTTAAATTGAGTGTACCCACAAACCAAGGTAAGAGTGTCTGAGACGCACATTATGTATGAAATAAGGAAACACAGGCAATGGAAACACGTAAAAAAATCACCTGTCAAAACTTGTACGGGATATTCTAGGAAATCTAAGAATAATTTGAGTGAGATATGCGTAGTTTAACAACTTATATGCATACCAAGTGCTGAGGCCGGAAATTCAACAAACGTGTGCATATACAAGAGTAACCTTAAACGATCTCTCCTATTTCACACAGCCTCATTATCTGGTCTATCTGTTGCTTCATTCAAACGCAGGACACCAGGAAATCGGAATTTTTAGTAACACTGCTATGAAAAAAATTTAGCCGCACACTCAGAGATTTTTGCACTGAAAAACTGGGTTTTTCATTAGTTTTATCTTACGTAATCACATTTCTTGCCGTGAATGACTCCCACCACTGCTGGTAGTGTTTTGTGGTGGAAACTGATTCAGAAATAATACAATTTCTGATGAGATCTTACGCGAGACGTATAATACACCTTAGTTTACTACAAGAAATCTCACTTGGAACCTCACAAATCCTATGTATCTCAGAAGAAGAATAAGCCACACAATGAGTCCGTTTTCCGGTCACTCGACGACGGTCTCACTCAAAATGTGACGTGGATTTCGTGATTCAGGGATGAGTGAGGCTATATCTTGTCTAAGTGTGAGTCACACATTGCTGATATGTTGGTTGTCACTGAACGATTAAGTTTTCAGGCAACTAGGTGGAAAGTTGCGAGTTCTAAACTGCCCAAGGTTTCGTGGATTTGCACTACTAATGATTCTCAATAGGAATGAAAAAGTTGTACAATGCTTCATGGCATTTTAGCATGGAGTGGCTCTGCTTACAGAATAAACTCTTAATCAAAACATTCAGTTAACTTAGTTGAAACGCAAAACTGCAGAGTAAAGTGAAGCAGTTTCTCCTGTACTGGTGGAGAATACTTGTAGACAGCATTCACTTATAGTACGCCCTTGGTCATAAGGCAACGCACGCCATATTCATATAAAAGTGCATGTAGAAACATGAGCAATTAATCCTGGGGGCACGGAAACACGCTTAGAACTGAATATCCTCCATAAAAACGGCGAAAATGTTACGCTGTCGGGGAGGCTTCAGCTGAATTTGGTCAAGTGTCGGCGGGGTGCTGGCAAGTAAAACGTGCCGACGTCAGTCGGTGCCGTCTCGAGTCAAATCTGAGTCACCAATTCAAAAAACCGGACAGAATTTTCCTCACCGCGTTTTCTTCACAAACTAAATGTAGATTACTCAGTACAAAATGTGCTTGGTACTATTAAAGATTTTAATGCGAATGTAAGTGCAAGTTACATTGGAGGTACCTTATCCGAAAAACTGATTGCTCCAAACAGCCTCCAATGATCACGCGATTTTCATATCACCAGTACTCATGCAAAGGTCATATTTGGTGGTTATTTTTATTCAAGCGTAGCGTAAAATGAACTGGCTGATCGATAAGGAGGATATAGTTGGGTATGAAGATACAAAATCAGTTTGTCACAATGAGCTCGTTTCATTCGGCGTGAAGATTTGCCATGTAAAATGAAGAAAACCTGGTTAGCAATGTGCGAATTCAAAAAGAGTGATGACCTCTTCGAGCTTCTGCGGACGCACGTTTCCCGCAGCTTCACGTCTTCGTGTCTCCTGAAACAATCTCTGCATAAAATACAAAAAATGTTTTTTTTATCAGAGAGGTTGCTTTTCATACTGATAAGATCTGAATCATTTCAAAAAAGATGAAACGAAACATTGTGCAATCACGAGTGGTGTTTAACTAACGCACCCAGGATTATACCTTCGGTTATCCATAGTGGATATTTTGTGATGCATTCCATCTGATTCATTTTCGTTGCCAAGGGATTATGGATTACAGGTTAACTTACGTATAAAATTTCCTCCCGAGCTGTGCAAACTCTCTTTGGTTGTAACAAAACAGATTTGACAACCCATCTACAGGTTCCTAAACAAAAGTGGACCATGCAACACTATATCACACTGTGAATTAGTTTGTACCGGTAATCGCGTACAGGTATTTCGACTAGCATCTTCAGTTCCCACCAGCTGCAATGCAAGGGGTATTCTTCTTGGCATTAGCCATGATGTTGACTATTTTCACATCTATCGACAAGGATGAATGCAAAACTCACTTCGTATCGCAGATGCATATTGTTCATCAATTACCCCACCGACAGATGGAATAGGTCTGAAGAAATTCAATGTAATTATACCAACGATAACTAACCTACTCGTTCCAATGTGATTGGAGGAAATATTTCATTGATGTTTGTGGGCATCTAGCAGAGTGCTACCTAATTGTCGTGCATTTATGTGAGCGTAAAAACAACGAACAATTTACCAACAAACAATGCTTCACTGGAAAAGATGAGGACCATTTATCCGTTCGCAGAGAGTCAGCCAATAAGTTTTCTTTCACTGATTTATTCTCACTGGGTGAACGGCCACCTCTTTTTGTGAGCTTCGCAGTATCCGTTAACCCATCCACTGGTCCCTCCCCAAAGGTTTAAATCTAGACACGGGTTTGTAAGTCTCGGATACTGTAAGCAGCGTTTGTGCATTTTGCTATTTTTTCGAATTTCTACATCCGAAATGGCGTGTTTGTCGGACACAGACAGTTTGTGGGACTTTCGTAGATGTTCAAAACTTTGAGTTGTTGAACAAGGGTCCGATTGCTTTGGTGTCACCCAGACGCCTGGCATAACTTATTGTGCCTAATTCTTGCATGCAAATGGTTTCGACAATCGAAGGGGACATTTACATGGAGATCCCATTGATTCTCATTGATGATATCTGAATGGACGCTGAATTGGTCTGAATGAAGCGTAAAATGGATGGAACAGGGTAGCATTTCAGAGAAGGAAAAAGAAAGAAATCTGCGAGTAATACCTTGCAAAGTAACAGTAAAATGCCAGATAGTCGGCAACAGAGATAGACACCTATGATGATGCGAAGATGGTGTAAATGAAGAATTTATGGGCGCATGAATCCGAGAAGGAGTATGTCTACGCACGAATCATCGCCCTCTTTTTCGTTTATAACAGCGTACTCTATTTTGACCAACACAGTATGTCTAACAAAGACTACTACCGCCGCCATCCGCATTCTTCCGAATGTTGTGTCTTAATTCCCTCGATACAGACGAAGAGCGACCCACCTGTTCTGTCGTTACACGCTTTGAACCAGTACAGCTTGATCTACTTGACCTTATTCCACAATTCTCAAGCGGTTGCTATTTACACTACACGACTACTCACACAGAACCTTGCTTATTCTATTCATTTTGGAGTTTTGTGTTTTAGGCGTAACTTTTACGAATACCAAGAAGATGCTTGGCGTAAGAGTTACGTTACCGGAAACTGGATTGCAATCAAAGCGCTAGAGACCAGAAAATGAACCCAAAGTGAACAACGTCTTTCATATGTTGGCTCAAAGTGATCCCAACTGAAAATCCCAGAACTGTGTAGCCGTTTTATCTTTAATGAGAATCACTTAGCAGTACACGCCTCACGAAACTCCAGAAAGTTTCGAACCCCTGAAAAAAACGACTAATGGTCGAAGACTGACTTTATCGAGTACGAGCGGCTGATCGGCGGTGGGGTTAACTAGCATTTATATTGGATATAACACCACCCACCCTTGAATCACGGAATTCGCATCACGTTACCACTGGGTGATAGGCTACTCGAATGAGGACTTCAGATTGAGGGTACATGCACCTTAGGGCTTGCTGCCTCTACTGAGCTACTAATACTTTTCTGATAGCATGGGAAAATTAGGGAGTTTCAACCGGGATTTTATCTTGTAGAACAGAGTAATCTATGCCAAAAATCCGAAAGGCATTATAGAACTGTTTCATTTTTGTTGAAGATCCTGAACAGTATGCATTTCCCAAATGGCCAAAGCGATTCTCACCTACGACCTCCTGGTTATTAGTTAAACAATAAGTTGCACGGCCATAAATCACTACGTTGTCGGGTGATGTTAATTCTGTGCTAATCATAGAAGTGACGCCACATCCCATCATACTGATGGTTAGCCGTCTTCGATCAAGAGGTTCTTCTCCATCCAATTGCCGGGAACTTCCGAGTTTGGGTCTCCCTGGAATTTTCTAGATGCGCACTGCTAATTCCTCTCAAGAAGAGTGAAGCTGCTGTACAGTGCATCTTGCCATTTTCTAAACTGACCTACTTTAACTATTGGACGACGCCGATAGTGGAATTCCCGGATCTCTTTAAGCTTCTAAGAAGCGCTCTTCTCAAACGCCAGAATGGTTACGAACTGCCAGTAAATTAAGTTGCAAGCTATCAGTAGTGTTTCTGCAGTTAGAATTGTTTGTATCACCTATGAAGTTTGCACCTTACCACCTGCGTGAATCTTGGAAAAATAATCAGCGTATAAGTTTATGGCCTGGCCACTGAGGACTTTCATTCTCTCAGATTGCAACCAAGGATTAGGTGTTATTCAGTCAATAAAGAGACTAACAAATTTATGGCGCTTCGTAGAAATTTCACCAGCGAATAATGCGTTACTAGTCACTTGGTAAAAAGCCATAACAAATCAGGGCAAACAGAAATCAGTAGAAATAAAATCGATTACCCATTCAAAGAACACAACATGAAGCTGAAACCAGATTGAACTCGTTATTTTGTCACAGAATATGCATGTCGTATACCAATCATTTCAGGTGAATGTCTGTTAGCCATAACGTTTCCCTATAAAAAATATTGAAGAACTAAAGGACCGGCAATTTACACAATAGACCACGCAGATACTTGACAAACAATAATTGTATTATCCCAACTAAATATTTTCGCCTCCAAAACAGCAACGCCTTGAACCAGTGGCATTAGTTTCTAATCAGTTGCAAAACCTATTACGTCAATTGCGCGGTGTGGTGACTGTTTTTCACACAAGTCAGAAATACTGGGCATCTTCGTTTAGAACCGAAAACGACCAAATCTAAATCTAAATGACATATTAGATAGTTTAGTAGAGCTTTTGCCCTGGAAGTAGAGCCAGTCTGTGCTGAATAGTTGAGAAGAACTATAACGCTGTTATCCTCACGGGGAATCTTCAGAAGTGTTCATCTCACGAAAGTCTGGGGGGTTTTGAACCCGCCATCTTTCGGCCAGTGACCAACTCTTGACCCACCGACCACGAGTGGCTGAAAAGCAGTGAGTAACTCGGACTGGGATATGATATAGCAGCTCTCATCCTGCAACCACAAAAACCACACCAAGTGGCTATATATTGACTGACTCATCGAGTGACGACTTCTATGGAAATTATTCTTCCTTTGGACTGTAGGGCCGAATAGCACGACTTGGTTATTCTCGCCTTTTAAGCCTTTATGGCTTCCTTTACAGGATCGAATTTCCACTGGAAATTTCCAATTCAGTTTACATAACCAAAAGTGCAAGACAGACAGTTTATTGGACACAAAAGGAAGCAGAGGAACTCGTCATGAATCATACTAACAGGAAGTCACAGAAAACAGCGGGGTGTAGCTATTTGTTGCTCTTTAAATGAAACAAGTTTTAATTGATGTTTGGTTTGTGAGTAATTAGCCGAAATATGTGCAATTCAGTCAAATTGCACCCCGAAATCTATAGTAGTCAACTTCTCTGATTCTGATTGATGTTTTTAACAGTACCTTGTTTGCAGTTTAGATAGATGCTTGGGATACGTATAGAGCTTGGAGTATTGAAGGAGTCCAAACCATAAATGATGCAGCGGGGACAATTTTGCACGCATTGAAACCGTGTCATTAAATATTGGAACATATATTTAAAGCATTAACCCTAATACAAGTGAAACCCTGAAAAAAACGCCGAAAAACCTGATTGTCCAAAATCATTGCGGTCCTATGATACGATGGTAAAATGACATAGTTTCGACAGAATCCAACCAGTTGGTCTCCACCAAGCACACCAAAGTTTATCGGATTTGCACTCAAAATCCGTTGAAAATGCCCCAATCGAAGAAGCGTCCGGATTAGAGGCACGTCATCGCGGATTTAGGAAGCCGCGGCCATATTGATGGCACGTTTTGCCCGAATGCACAATGGTTCTAATATGCCACAACAACAACAACCAAGAACCACCCATCACTCAAAAGGGGGGAATGCAATAATTAACCGTACAATAATTAAGTGTATTCAGATTCAACTATGCGTGAACTATAATTAAAGACTATTGGTCCCAGAGACAAGTGAAGTCATCCTATTTGCATCCTCAATTTCGTCAACACCTTCTCCCATGAGCAGCCACAGGGATACAGACAGTGTATAGGCGATTCGTCCGGCGGCTTATGGTTTTCGAATATAGATTCATGCATTACGAGCTATATCCTGGGGCACTGCATTCATCAAGTAGCATGGTAGCCTCAAAATATTCGACATCTTGCCGAAACCTGGAAAGCGTAGACGTATGTAAAGCAACGAGTATTCTATTTAGTATAGTTGGGGTATGACGGTTTATTCGTGCTCACCACCGACGGTTTTGGGGGTTGCCAACAACAATAGCCTGCCATTAATTGTTGTAGTTATGCTATGTTTGAACCCGTAGTGACAAGGATAAGAAAACAGTCAAATGCAACCCAGTGCTTTTTGCGCCGCGTGTCGGTGGAGAGATGACCACAACTAGCGATAGAAGGTCACAGATAACTACTTGATCACCAGGACGCTTTGAGTTCCAACCCAGTCAGTTATTGAGTGGTTGGCGTCTGAAGCAGATGAGCGAGGAAAATTCAGTCGTCACGGCGTCGATTGAAACATTTCTCTCAAAGGCGCGCTAACTATCAATAATTGAGGTAAACCTAATTCAACACTTACCTCAAGGCTGGCACTTTGAACACCGTGATCCAAAGGCGATTGTCAGTCATTATTATTGTTAGCAAAATGAAGCCTGATTTTGTACCTTCAGAGGTGTGATTTTTCAATGGCATACCAGTCGGTATCCGTCGAATAAAGTGTCTCTCGGGAACTACGGTTTTTCGAGGTTACCACTTTCAGCTATATATGCTTAGTGCGTTTTTCTGCTACCTTTTGGTGTGAAAGAAATACTTTAGTGAGCGGATTGTTGAAAACTTCCTTGCATTGTGAAACAGTGCTAATTGAAATAAAATATCTCAAATCACCGCGAAATTTTGTTCGCCTTAAGTAAATTATGATGTGAGTATTTACGACGCCAGTCTACTGAGCGCCATTCGTTGAAACGTATGATAAACTGGTTGGCTCAAAATCCCCAGTACATGGATCTATACCTAATATTGTTCT